TAATTACTAAAGAAATTCATACATAACACGTATCAACAGCAAATCACCTTAGTGATCTAAGTTTACCTGACTAATTTTCCAGATGTACGGCTCCCGTTCACTGTCAGATTCGACAAAGGCCCCAGAGAGTGGTGTGCCACTTCTTGAGGCACTCGCTCACTCGCATGACATTGGGGTACTTAGTTTTTGGCGGGCTCAAACATCACGCTGTTAATTGGGGTGGTACTGTTGGGGGCACTCGTGAAGGGTAGGCGAGACCGGTGGGTGGTGGATCTAGGTCCGTGTTGTCGAGGACGGGGGCGTAGAAGTGGATGTTTAAGTGTTTTTGTAGATTGGAGAGTTAGTCAAGCAGGTTGGCCTACCCGGTCATGCCTTGGGTCGGTCTGCTTCAAGGTTGGGTTTTCGAGGTAGGATACTGGTGAGGACGTTGATCGGGAGAGGAACGCAGAGAGCTTACTCGCGTATGTCTGTGTGTGTGGGGGTGGGGTGGGTCGTTTATATGAATTAGTACGATCTTTAGTAGAAATGAGAATGGGCGTAAAGCTTTACTGGACAGAAGGATTCTCTGTGTGGGCGCATCTGTTTTCTTGGAGGCGATTCTTAAAAAAGGCTTATTAGACGGGTTAAGTACACCCACATTCAGGATGGACTCCTCCCGTTTATCAGTTTTCCCCAGTCCAGCAGCATGGGGGGCGGGAACGCTTCGGGACACATTGGAGGGACACCACATAGAATTTGTAAGTGGAACAAATTATCTTGCTTCAAAGTGGAATTTATTCGAAAATCTTTCTTCAAGGGTAAATCAAGTGGCTGGTACCCTGTAAATTCATGCAGTAGCCACAGGCGGGTTGGGGACACTACGAAAACCGTTGGAGCGCATGATGAAAACAAAGAGTTACATCTGAAAATGAGGGGTCTCTCTCCTTGGCTCGCTTCGCCTTGCACACCGTTAGCTTTCACACTCGGGTGGCATCTCCGCTCGGGGGCTGCCATTTGCCGGTGTGCATCCTTTGCCTCGTTGGTCATACTGCCCTTTTATTGCGGCCGTTTGTCCTCATTCACACCGCCTCAGTTGGTCCTGGGCCTGGCCTCTTTCTTTTTTTATTTTTTTTTTTTTGTTGTGTTTGGGCCCATTTCCATCTGTTGCGGTTCGCCGCCAGCTTGAGAAAGCGAAATGTAAAGTGTGTGTGAGTGTGTGCTGTTATGTGGATGTAAAAACTTGTAGGCCATGCTCAGTAATCCGCCGACAAGGTTTTTGAGGAATGTGAGGGCGCTGTTCCGAAGTGCTTGCCCCTTTACTGAGACTTCTATAGGCGAGATGAAGAGGATGGGAACAGTGCCCACGCACTGTTGGCTGCGCTGCATATGATGTGAGCATTAAAAAAAAAAAAAAAAAGGTTTATTCGGGAGATAAAGTACTAATTGTAGAAAAAAAATATGCAGAAGGAGAGTACAAGAGAAGAATTAAGACAAGCTTAGTGTAGTGGTGAAGGGCTGTGTGCACGCATATATATCAAGATGGTCTTTAGCCTTCATTTTAGCATTAGCACCTTTTTTTCTACTATCAGTTGTTTAGAATGGCTGAATGTGTTACAACCATCATACTTAATGTACAGTGATTATTCATTTGTTAACCCTATCCTAACCCAACTATATAAGAAACAATGGTGTGGGGATGGGTGAATGCCTTATTTTGATTTTTTATTTCTATTTCGTTGTCTATTCGCGCCAGGCACCATACAAGCTCCACGACACTGGGGTGCTGACCTTTACGGCTGTCGAGTGTAATTGTTTTAAACATTGGAACATCCTACCTAAGATGAATATTTCTTCTCAACTTCACAGAGCTAAATTGGTAAACTCCTACCTTGTCTGTGAGAGGCAGTGTCTGATCTGAGGCTGGGAGTCCAGGAAGCAGCGTTGTGTGGGGATTGGTAGGCGCCGCTTGTTCTCGTGTACTCCAGGCAGCCAGGTAGGAACAAATGCTGCCAATTCACCTGTCCTGTACAAGTGATATCTACCTAGATATAAGGACGTTTCAGAAGTCAGTGCCTGAAGACAAAGAAAGCCATACTATAATTTTACTAAAATTAAAGACATCTCTTTATTTCTATTTCTCCCTGAAAAATCTCTCAACCCATGTTTGTCCTCCGATAGTCTGGAACCAATCACCGACCTCAAACCCTCCCGAAACTCTTGTCGAGTCTCCATCCCCGCTCCTCATTTCCTACTCTGTTCGTTTCCACTCCTTCCACTTAGGCCTGTGTTTCATGTTATATAGTTGCGGCTTTTTGGAGAGGTAAAATGGCATTCTGGCAGAAGCCTTCGCAGGTTGCTCAAGGGCTCGTCTTTCTGCAGGGCGACTCCACGGCCGGGATCACTGCAGAAGGAGGGTGCAGCAATGAATTCAGATAAAGGGACAGGGTTTAATTTTGTGCAGAAATCTGAGTTTCAAAGCTTGTTTGCTACCACCTAAAATGTTGGTAAGAAGTTTCTCTGGGAAGTTGGGAGCTTACTTTCGTTTTGGGACTACAGCCCCTGAGTCTGTTCCTCAGGTGGAGTTGGGTGTACACAGTGCTGCATACAGACTGGATCAAAAGACAGCAGTGACGATTTACGCATTAAGGGACTAAGTGCAGACATATAGGTGGACTTGTTGACTATTTGGGGTGTCTTCACAGACACTTATTTTGAATCTTGCTAGTGGTAGTTGCTAACTGTTTATTTCATATCCCTCCCGTGCTGGTGAAGGCTTGCTGCAGAATGGAATGCAGCGCTCCCCAAGTGGCAGAGTCGGCAGCAACAACACATTACTGTGAGCCCAACAAAATTTAAAATGCAAACATTCATCAGTCTCATGTAATGCCACAATTCAGTGTGGTAGGATATTAAGGTAAAGTGAAGTAGTGGGTGCTTAGTTTTTTGGGCTAGAGAAGCTGCCAGGACGGGGAGGAGTGGGTGGAATGCCTTGTTTGGTTTATGGGGGTTTGTGTTTGAAAGAGATGCAAAGATGTTACTCCATCCACCAGCAGACCTCCTGTGTGCGCCTGTTGCTCCGGGGAGACTACAGGCTTACGAATACGTCACATGGTCTTTCAGCATTGTGAACTTTGTACAGGTCCATCAGGAACATGCATGAGTGGTCCTTTACATCATACGCATTTTCTCAACAACTCAATCAATGGAACCATAAAATATTAGTAAATAAAGCGTAGTGGGTTTACTGAAAGGGGTTTAGAAAAGCCTGAAGAGTTTTGTGGTGGAACGCTTGCGTGGGGAGCAGACAGTATAAAAAAGAAAATATGTGAATTGAAAAACTCCTAGGGACAGACTGTGATGCTAATGGTCAACTTACATCTTTTGCTATATCAGGTTGCTTTCTAGGAGGTAGGTAGATGGAAGAGTGGATAGATGGCGCGGGAGGATTGGGAAGAATGAAAGATTTAAAGCAACCTTTCCTGTTTTTAAACTTATGGAGTTACATAGATTTTTGTTGACAGGGAAGGATGATTTTCCAGGTGGAGGGTCAGAGGCCATGGGAGCTACATATATTAGATATATAGTGGATCCATGATGAAATGAGATAATCAGGATTAAAGTACCGGAAAAGCTCACCCCAAACCTGCTGTGTTTGGCAAGCCTTGGTTCATAAAGCAGGCCATGTTTTTTCCTTGTTTCTTAAAGTAGTCACATTTTGATCACTTGAAGATTCATTTATCTTGAACCCCTCTTTTAAATTGCTTTGAATGTTCGCCCAGATACTGCTCCATCTTTTTCTGTTGAAGTTTAACGCCACATTTCCAATCCAGCGTCAGTGTCATGTGTCTTCAAAGGCTCCCATGCCTACCGACTAAACAAAGATGCAGGCAGGCCAGCAAGCTCCTCTTTGAAAGCGAGCGCTGAGACCAGTCTGAGATGACTCCACACCGTCTGCTCTGAGTCAAAACATGCAGAGCCTTGTGTTTCCTCAACCCCGTACTCCGTCTTTTCATGCAAACCCAAATTTATCTCACACACGAACGTCTTGTGTCGGGGACAGGAAAGGAAATGTTTCCACATTCATGGATTCAAAAAAGCCATTTGTCACAAGTGGTTTGACCACACCCGAAAAATAGAAAGATAAATCCACATGCACTGGAAGAGAAGACCAGCTGCGAGAGGATGGGAGGTTTCCCAAAAATAGCTGCAAAGTCTTTGCCTGGAGGGTAGGGTCAGAAGCCGCAAACGCCCACACGAGCAAGGCCCCAGTGGGTATATCATTTAGGGAGGCAAAGTTAGCCAGGACCCAGAGTGTATAACATTGGTAATTTTTTTGCTGACAAAGACAGGTCAGCAACTCGTGTAATGAGGACTGGCATGGAAATTAAATAGATACAACTTAGCCTACCTCCCTGTGCCAAACCGCATTTTTAAGTCAAAAAGAGTAAAAGAACCAAGTGCACGGTTTGTATGTTATTTCATTAAGAGATCGCGAGACATACTAATAACTTAATGGCAGTTTATATTTAATCTAGCCAGGCAACCCGCGCAGTTTGTGCTTACCGAACTTCAAGCGAGCATGAGCTATCCGAGAGTGGCTCCTACTATGTTTAGAATGAAGGCCAGTTCCAAGTCCCTGTAGAAGTCTAGTCTGGCTGGGCAATTCTTGTTTACCTGGTCTTATAGTTAGACCGCTACACACACCGAGTAAGTCTGTACCACGACCCCAGCTCAAACTATCTACATTATTCCATCTGCTGATGGGGCGATGGGCAGTGGCCTGCAGTGATGTCCTGTCCAATGGGGTCTTTTGTAAGGTGCTTTTGTCTGCGAGTGACATCTCGAAACTGAAACTTTTAAATTTGGAAAGTAAATTGCGATACCACATAGGTTCATTGTAATATGAAATGTATTTTGAACAAATCCACATGCGAGTTTGTTCAGGTGCTATTTCAGAGGTTACAAAGATTGCAATCAACCACATCAATAAAAAAATGATAGGACAGGTTTCAGAACATATATTAATACAGGACAAGATGGCAACGAGCCTGAGACACAGCCACCACAAAAACTCTCAGATACAGAAGTGTGATGACAGTGACAGGACCAGAAAAAGACAAAAACAGATCAGCGAGTCCAGCAACATAATCAATAACAACCACACACTCTCCATAGCAGGAGTTATACCTGCCCGGTTGTGTCAGGTTGTCCATCATCAGCAGACTGTGACAGACAGCAGCACACAGCCAACACACACAAACACACACTTTAACTGTTTTCTGAGTGACTTTGGTAGAATAATGCAGAGGATCACAAATAGCCACATAGCGGTCGGCAGATATGAGCACCATAGTTCCTATTGAGGCAGAGGTGATAATGTAGACCAAAACATAATACAGAACACACATGAAGTCACCGAGGAACCAGCAGCCGTCTATGAGCACAATCTCAAAGGACATGAGGAGGCCCACGAAGAAGTCCGAGACAGCCAGAGAGAGGAGAAGGAGGTTGGTGGGGGTGTGGAGCTGCCTGGAGAGGCAGGAGAGCAACATGATTATTGTCGAAGTGTCGATGATCCAGCAGATTACAGCCATGATTGAAAAGCATTATTTAAAAACATCACACTTTTCCTTCACATACTTGACATCTGGTTATTTTTATGTTCTGATATGTTCTAATAAAAAAAAGATTCGACTACTTGAAGTGGGAGATAGAGATGATGACCAGCAGGTTGAGAGTCACAGTGAACACAGAGATGGAGGACAGTATGATGTAAGTGAGCATAGATACAGAGCGAGGATGCATCGTCTTCCTGCAGGAGGAGTTGAGGAGTTGTGGAAAGCAGAGCTCAGCTTCTTCGATCAGATTCATCATCGTCATCGTCAGATCATCAGATCATCAGAGGAGATGAGAAGCTGCTGAGCTCCGTCAGCTTTCTGCCTGAAGCTCTCCGTCACATCTTTGTATTATCTCTCCACACCCCCCTTCCCTCCCTCGCGCTCTCTGGTGACAGTTTTCTTTCAGTAGCAGTAACTGACTTTTTGTTTACTAATGTGCCGTAAATGTCTCTGCTAGCTGCCCAGGTGGCGACACACGACTCTTACTTTCAGCCTCGCATGTGATAGACCCACAAAGCAGCAGCCCTTTTTTTGTGCAAGGTAGCTCTGTCTCGAGGGTCCTGGAATCACTGTTGGTCTGACCCCTTTGCCTGGGCCCGTTTTCCCAACCAGGTTGAAAGCAGAGTGGGAAGAGTGTCTGCCTTGGCTCTTCTCAAAGAGGTTGTGTAAGAAAAATAATGACCCTGTGTTTGGACTTCCTAACTAAGGGGAAGCAAATACACAGCAGGTGTCTGATCCTATTATCTGATTCAGATACTCCTTAGAATAAAGTTGATGAATGGAACCGTATCAAGCTTGTACATGTATTGTGTATTATACATAGATTTTGGCAGGACCTCTACATATGTTCAGCATTTTAAGTTGAGAAATTCTAATTTGAGATGTCATCAATATTAATACATCCCATAAGGCATATCTACGGTGGCCCTGAGAGCTCAATGCACTGCTACTTAAGAAAAAACAACAACAAAATTCAGAAAACATTCCTCCTCAATTCGACAACACGTGCTGCAAATACATACAACACAACCAAATACAGAAATGTGCTGACTCATGGTGTAACAAACTGGACCTAGGGACATGGAACATGTTTATTTGTTGTCAAACTGATGAAGGTCTTTTCTGAATTTTCTTGTGTTTTGTCTGTTTACATGTTGTTGTTTTTTATGTTGCAGTGGGTTGAGCTCTCAGGGCCATGGTACATATCTAATATGGTTAACATAATATTTTTTCCCATAAAGGAAAAATTGATTTTACAGTTGACAGAATAAAGAGATGTCAGGAAATTTGGAGAGAGAGATTTTGCCATTACACCAGAGGACCTTGTGCTGTATGAATGGATTTAAGTTGATGGCAAAAGAGTGATTGAAGCTAAGAAAGTTTGTGTGTTGCTGAGGTCAATGGTTGGGGCCTTCCCTCCTTAAACCGTCCATTCCTTCTGTTGGCCTGTTACAGACGTGGCTGTATTTTGTATTTTGGTGTACTGTCACAGTTAAAGACTCACTGACAGAAGGAAGTGCAAGATGAAAATGATGACTTCAGAGGAACAAAGAGGAGGGACTTCAGTTTGATAGAAAGAAAGAATTGCCGTAGAGGAGAAGAGACACAAATGGATGAGGAGGAGAAAAGAGATAAATCAGCTGTATGTGTGAGAGGTTTGGTCACAAAGCTGCAGGAGCTCAGCAGCTTCTCCTCTCATCATCCTTTTCTCTCATGATGGAGACCCTGGAAGACACTGAACTCTGCTTCCCACAACTCTTCAACTCCTCCTGTAGGAAGAAAAAGCGCTCTGAGTCTGAGGCTGTGCTTGTTTACATTGTGCTGTCCTCCATCTCTCTGCTCACTGCAACTCTCAACCTGCTGGTCATCATCTCCATCTCCCACTTCAAGTAGCAAAATATTTCTTCTGTTTCTGAGTGTGATGGACGTACAGAAATTCATGGGTCATGGGAAATTTTCAGATGTGATGATGTGTTGATGTTGATCCTTAATTTTAATCACTGCTTTGTTGAATTTTACCATGGATTATGTCTCTTAAATATCATGATGGAGTTGCTACTGTACAGACGCTAATACATATGATGTTCCTCTTTCTGCAGGCAGCTCCACACCCCCACCAACCTCCTCCTCCTCTCTCTGGCTGTCTCAGATTTCTTCGTGGGCCTCCTCATGTCCTTTCAGATTCTCCTCTCAGACGGCTGCTGGTTTCTCAGTGACCACATGTGTACTCTGTACGGTGTGTTAGATTACATCATCACCTCTGCCTCAGTAGGAACCATGGTGCTCATATCAGTCGACCGCTATGTAGCCATTTGTGACCCTCTGCATTACCCCAACAAAGTCACAGTGAGAGGAGCCTCAATCTGCACTTGTCTTTGTTGGGTGTGTTCTGTTCTGTACAACAGTCTCGTAATGAAGGAGAACTTCACACAACCAGGCAGGTACAACTCCTGCACTGGAGAGTGTGTAGTTGTCATTAACTATATAGCAGGAGTTGTTGACGTTGTTTTGACCTTTATTGGTCCTGTCACTGTCATCATTGTTCTGTATATGAGAGTATTCGCGGTGGCTGTGTCTCAGGCTCGCGCCATGCGCTCTCATGTCGCAGCTCTCACGCATCAGCGTTCAGAGACTGTGTTCACTAAGAAATCTGAGATGAAAGCAGCCAGGACTCTTGGTGTTGTTGTAGTTGTGTTTCTGATGTGCCTTTGCCCATATTACTGTTCCTCTCTTGTCAGCCAGAACACCCTGTTTGGTGTCACATCAGTGCCCATAGAGATCTGGCTGTTCTATTTTAGCTCCTGTCTAAACCCGGTGATCTATGCTTTTTGTTACCCCTGGTTTCTGAAATCCGTCAAGATCATTGTCACATTTAAGATACTGCAGCCTGACTCCTGTGAGACCTGCATACTGTAGAGAGAGAATCCGTAGTCTCTGACATGACAGCTTTTCTGTGAAGGACTGACGTATGTACGGATATCACTGAATTTAAGTCTGGACAAATATAAATATGTGACGCAATTTAACACAGCAATTGTCTATTAATATAAAGTATCTGTCACAGTTATAACTTTTCTTGTGAAGAGCATATTTCATATTATAACAACTTTTACAATTGTTTTACTAAAGGACCTTTAATTATCTGTTCATCCAACAGCCTCCCCTTATGTTTCACTGAATAACCACCTAGTATGTATAAACACCACACTGGCTGCTTCGGCTTGTTGCTATGCATAAACAAACACAAGTCAATAGGGCAACTGCAGTTTTTCCAGGAATCTGGACAGTGATATGAGATATATATTATATTATATTATATTATATTATATTTTATTATATTATATTATATTATTTTACATTATATTATATTATATTATATTATACTATATTAGGTTTGGGTTCATGCCCTACGTGAAGTACTTCTCTCAATAGTTTAGGCTATAATTGCTTCTAGATGCTCAAGAGAGGAGTGTGTATCAACAAGCTTAGCACAAAGAACTGAAAACAAATGGAAGCAGCTAGCCTAGCTATGTCCAAAGCGAATAAAATCTGCCTACTAGCACCCCTAGAGTTAGGGAAAGGAATGATGGTATTAAAAAGGTATTAAAAGGTTTGTGCTTGTGTTTGTGATTCATGTAGGTATATGTAGGGATGTAATGCACACTATATGTACAGCATCCATGCGTACAATATTCACTCATACTGTTTTCCTAGTGAGTTATAAAATGGATGCAGTGTGATGAAGTCAGTGTACTGTTTTTGAGTTTGTGAAGCCTTGTTTTACCTGTCAGCATACTGAGTGCAGCCAGGTACAGGAAGAAGCAAGAACATGTTGCTTGTCCGCTGACAGCGACCTGAACACAAGTAAACTTTTTCTAAATCAGAAAACAAAGCCTGTACATACTGCACACTGAACAGTCTAAAGAATCGTCATTGCAGAATATGCAATGGCATTATTTAAATTGTAATGTTTTTCTTTTCATTTCTTCTCCTCTCAAATAATACATTGCCTAAAGGCATTTTTAAAATTCTCTGAAGAGGATAAGAATTTTTACCTGACAGTTCAATTGTATTGTGACTAAATAAATCCAGTTATACCAGTTCAAAATTCAACTGCTCATTGGCCATGAATGACCCATGTACCAGCCTTGACTAATATATTCAACCTAACAGAGACAAAAATATTTAATTCTAGAAACAAAGTGTTTGACAAAGACAGACCATGACATTACAATGGGCACCATCTGAAATGCAGCATTTCTTTCTTTTCTTTTTTTTTAAATAACAAAAATGTCAGAAATAAATACATCTCCAACCTACATTCAGCAGACATGGACTTTCTTTTATTAGTAACTGATGAAGTAAATAATGTCAGTGTAAACTTAATTATTAGTAATGTGGGAGGCAGTTTAAAATTGGCTCCACATTTGTTTACACCTCACAAAACTGTCAGAACTGTATTTATTCAATAACTATGTTTGATTTGACCAAAAACATAACAGTGAGTGAAAGTTTCTTTTCTTATTTTGAAACATTATAAACTTTATATCATGGTGTGAAAAATATCGCTTTTTCTAATGTTTTTAAAATTTTCTGGCCATCAGTGTGGCAAAAATCCTTGGATCTTTATATTTACTCGAATTTTTTGTATTTTTTGTATTTTTCGTATTTTTCGTATTTCATTTTATGTTTTATGTTTTTTTCACCCCAGGAATGACTCTTTTTTTTCTCAAAAATCTGTTCTAAAGCTTTGGAAGTATTAAAAAAGAGAGGAGATAAGCCAAAAGTTTCCAGGTTTTTTACCTGTGGAGGAGTTGTAGGGAAGTCGGAGTAGCTGTTGTCTCTCTCTCTCTGTGTGAAAGACACAGCACACTCTTGGGCTGCCTCTCTGTCTATTTACATGTTTACTCTCCAGCAGAGTGAAGAGATTCTCACACTTTTCTTGTTGTTTTGTTTTCCCAAACTGGGTTCTGTCATGGAACATTCCAGTTTACAAATACACTGTAATTACCTGAGAGTCACTAATGCAGACTGATTACAAGCTGTCAGACTTATCAATGACTCCAACTTGACAACGTATCATGAAGATAATGCAGCTTAAAGGGCCGTATAATGTAAAAAAAAGATTTGAAGGTTTGAGTTCAGCTTGTTTAAGATTGGGACATTTCTTCATTGACACAGTTTCTTTCACAACAGAACGGACTCCAGTCTGTCCTTAAGCAGTTCAGTTATCTCTATTTGAGATTGTGTTTCATCCACCACTGATGGGGCTTTGACTCACTTTGATTCAATGGTAAAAGGGTCAAGCAATATAGAGAGGTGTGTGTGTGTGTGTGTGTGTGTGTGTGTGTGTGTGTGTGTGTGTGTGTGTGTGTGTGTGTGGTGTGTATGTGTGTGTGTTGTGTGTGATGCTGGG